CACTCTGGGGCCTCGTTGATTTTTACGTTTACGATTCACGGTGATAAAACCATTACTATTTTTGTCACGTGATTTCATGTTAAATTTGCCATGAGCAGGTTTTCTTTCGTTCAGTTCATGAGACTTATGCGACGTAACCATGCCTGCATATCTAACCGATGGGGGGGGGGGGTGTCGCAGAGTAAGTTCAGCAATGCAACTTATTTTACCTGTTTTAGGATCAGATAGAGATGGTAAACAACCAGTAGGCATGGGTTCTGCATTTATAGTATCAGTCATACAGTTCATCTCCATGCGAGACTCTTTAAGTCCATTTTTAAGGTCGTCAATTTCTTGACGCAAATTCTGCACGTCTTGCAGTATTTCTCAGCTTAAAGCCGACCGGTACATTATATGATCTTTCAGTTTCGTCATGTCTCGCCTTAGGGCTGTCATTTCCTTCATAACTGCCGAGACATCTACATGCGTTATGTCGATTGGTGGTAATTTCGATAAGTCTTTCAAAACAAAACTAGAAAGGTTCTCGAAATCCGTCCCATGGACCAACTGTACTACATCTAAAATATTGTAACATCGTTTATTTGAACCTTGTCGTTTAATATATCGCGCGCGATCATTTCCACATAACTCGAACAAGGTTTTCTTGGACGATGATTCAACCTCTTCCTCACGAAGTAATCAGAGTATAAAACTTGACGATGACATCGGTAATAAGAATGTCGATTTTATGCTACTGAAAAAACATTGTTCAACCGTACTCCAAAATTTGCCATAAAATAACAAGTTCAAGTCGATTACGCATATAATCAAGGTATTCGACGCAACACACGAATAGAAAATATATCCGACAGACAATTTGTTATCAAAGCAAAAACTGTCATTTTTAAGGGTTTTTTTCAAGGTCCAACATAAAATAGCTCTGATCTTTAGATCGACTCCTCAAGTAATTGCTAGTAACTATGTTAATTTGTAGTAAACATCGTAGACTCTGTGCAATAAAGGAATTCATTCGATTTGTAATTGGTTTGGTTTGTTGTAATTATCAGAACACAGGTTTTGATCATCCTCGGTTTCTCATGATAAAATGTATTTACAAAAAAACAACAACATCTTAGTATCCTGCATATTAATGCTGATGATGTCCAGATGATGATAAAACTAGTAAAACCAAATCAAATACGTGCCGGGATTGCTCGTTGGATATGCGTTTACTTCCTAATAAGGCCAGACTTTTTTTATTCTTTGTTTCTTGGGGTTTTATAAGATAGTCTGAGGAGGGCAGAAAATAAAATAAGATTAATTCTATTTTTCCATTAGATTTGTGTGATTCTCAAAGAATTGTAAGTGAGATCATTGATCGGAGAGAGACTTCGGTACCTTGATCATGATACTCCCACGAAAATACAACTTGGATTTGTAATGCGGCGGGCCGTGAAAAATGAAGATAAATAATATTTGTTTAGCAATTTTTTGCGCGTACAAGTCGATGGGCGCAAGAAATTACGCTGAAATAAAATTTTATTTATATTTCATTGTCGGCTCCTGTTCATTCGGCGAGTTCGCGAAACAAGGGAAAGTCTGGCCTAACGAACAATTCAAATAAATGAATCATGTAAAGAAATATATTTACGAAGATAATTAAAACAATTACACATCGACGATGAAATCAATATTTGTTATATTTCCGTGGAATTGTAGATACAGTAACTTACCCGGTGTTTCACAGGTTGGTCCAATGAACTTTGATCCAATTTTGCAGAGACATTCAAACGTACCAGTTGTTTTGCCCATCACGCATGTGCCGTCGTTTTTACATGGACTAGATATACATGGATTTCTTTCTTTCTGATGTTTTGTAATAAAAACAATAGAGAAAGAAAATGGTAAATACAATTTGACACTCGAATGTTTTTAAACTATGTATAATATGTAATGTATAATGTATAATGACTTGTTCAGCTGCTTTCAAAAACAACTGTAACATTTTTGTTTCAAATATCTGACCAACGAATTTACAACAAATCCACGAAAGTCACATTTGGTATTGAAAAATTGTTTGATTCGTTATCAACTGCCATTGCGCTCATTGTAAGAAATACCATGGTCACATTGCCATGGCAACAGCAGACGCGGGGACGTAAGATAAATGGACACTTGAGAGAGAACGAAACAAGACCAGCGGCTTTTTGTTGGGATTTACGTTCCCTTGCAGCTTAGTTTCCGCGAACGATAGAGGGTTGATTGGCGAAAGATGACTAGCAGCTGCCAAAAAAAAAATATGTGGGTATTATGAGACCAACATTGTGTTTGCAATAACGTTATCCTATCAGCCTGATTGTCATCGTAATTTAGTAACAAATAGCAGCACTAAATGATTGCACAAAGCATGTTACGAAATTCCTGCATGCGCAAATATGCCGCGATTATATTCCCGCCACTCGTTACATCGTTGCTGCTACTTTAATTGTAAACGAATGAAAGAGCTTGATTTCGACGGAAATATGATGCACATTTATTAAACAGAAAATACCTGTGAGACATATTCTACCGTGTCTATAACAAAATCAAACGCTCCCAAGACACATTTGAGCACGCCTTGACTGACCGCTGAGTAATATAAATGTCAACGCCATGTATGGCAATGACGTATTTTATGATACATGCTACTTATCTGAGCAGAATTGATAGGGCTTGATATTGTTAAAGTAGAAGCCTACTCATAAATGCAAATAACCATGATTTATTCATTCCGGGAATTATAAGGATATTGACTTAAAAAAAGTTGGGGTTCACTAGCTTCATTTTCGAGAAAATGATGGTTGCATTTAGTGTATAGTGGCCATTTGACAGTATTATAATGCTTTTACCACAATAGGTTCCCATTGCAGAGATATTATGCCATATTTAAATTGTGGCTTAGTGACATAGGCTGAAAAAATCATACATTGTTAATGATAGAATATTTAGTTTTCGAAATGATTTAAAAAAAATCAAAAATGCATTTTTTTCTGAAAATTGCCATTTTTGAAAAATATTAGGACACTTTTCTCAGGATACGTCACTGTAACACACACAAGAACACTGGTTTATGGTGCCATGATTTTACATAATAAACCAATGCAATTAATGACCAACTCAAAAATTGCAAGTAGATTTTAACTTCAAAGCAAAATGTATGCTACTTTATATATAAATAAATTTATCTTGCGTGTATGAATAATATTTAATGAAAAACAAATTTTACTTATTTGGCGAGGTTGAAGGACAGATTTGCGATTCGTAGTTAAATTGTAAAATATTGACGTAACAAGTTTCAGAGGAAGCAACACGTACAATTGACAACATTTATCGCATATTAACCTACCCCGATGGTGTCGTACTCGCTTCTTAAACCATACTCATAACCAGGGCGGGTATCGAGCTGTGACTCGCTCGTGCTTCTTTCCGGAATTAGTTCACACATCCCCAAAAAGCGCTGGTAGTTGAACGAGACGCACGCGTCGCCTTGAAGTATGCAACCATACGCACACAGCGATACGTCGTACGAATGGGCAAATTCTTCTCGATTTGATGACAAAAAAGAGACGTGATGTTTGGGAATGTTTTCCTGTAAAATGAATGTCGCATCGTTTGGGACACAGGTACATGTTTGAAACCATAACAATACGAAAACAGTTATTGACAAGAAGGATGACATTGCAACCAGCCGAACGTAGACTACAACTAACTACACGGTCATAAATGCGTTCACCGCTTTATAAGTCGCTATGGAGTTATATAATACCCGGATGTCGGGATACATTTTGA